CGGCGCTAATGCGCTGCTGCCGCGCGAACTGTTTCCTGCGCGCCGCGAACGTCAACAGCCTCTTCACCCGTTTCGACTCATCTGCCACATTTTTCGCGGTGATGCCTCGCTGATCACAGCTTCCGCACGCTACTCTTGCTCCTTTCGTCTCCTGGTGGTCTTCAATTTGGTTGCGGGTCGAAAGGCCGACCTCCCAGAAGGACACCCCGCACCCGGGTGCACAGCACGCAAGGCGCTCGCAAAACACGCCCCAGACCACCGGCATCACGCAAACATTTGGACCCCCTACGTATCTGCCACCACCCGCGCGCGACACAGCACCCTCACACAAGACGCCGCTGGCCAGAAACTCCTGGCCTCGCAACACTCACAGAAGGGGTCGGCGGATGTGGCGCAAGCCTGTAGAATCTGAAAACGAGCCAGTCTACACCTTTGTAGGACTAGTTGTTTACATTAGGGTAAGAAGTCGCGAAGAAGGCTCGGGCGAAACGCCTGGCCAGGCCTACGGACACGTCAGGTCGTGCGATAGGGGGATTTTTTTTTCGCCGGGGGGTAGAAGCCTCCACAGCTCCAAGAGGTCCCCGAAATATTCAAAAACTTCTCCTCACCCCTTCCTCCCTTTCCCTCCCCTCCACCACCTGGCTGGAAGAACGACCCTCACCTGACTCGAAGAAACGGAGCGCCATCTGGTAGCTATCGCCCTCCCTCCTCATCCTCTCTTCCCCAGACCTCCGACGTTGTGAATCGTCATACGCCGCAAACCCAGGAGTCTTGACCTCTTACCAAGGACCGGCTTCTCATGTGAGTTGTCCAACGTGGTCCTACTCGCTATTCTCTACGACCCACGGAAGTCTCCTGTCTGGAGGTCCAAAATCGCCCCCACACCCCGACTCCTCCTGGGAGGCGTTTCGACCAGAATTTCCCAAAACGGATCCAGCCGTGGCAACGTGAATGCCCAACAAAAAACAGAAACGTCCAAACAGAAGGCCGGAAGAACGGCTCTGGCCAGAAGGACGGCTCTCGCCTGACTTGAAGGGGTGGAACACCACCCGGTAGCTGTCGCTGGCCGGGCACGCGAAGTACTCAGGGCAGTCGCAGTGGTCCTGTCGCCGCCCCGCCGCCGCCCCGCCGCCGTGGGCCTCCAGTGGTCCTTGGAGTGCCTCGGCTGGCCCCGGCGGCGTTCGGTGGCAGTGGCGGCGCAGAGCGGCAGCGGCGGCAGCGACACGACCTCGGCGGCCCTCGAGGGCCGCCGAGGCCAGAGAGACGACGACGACGCGAAGACGATGGACGACGACGACGGACGACGACGACGACAGTGACGACCCCCGACGGCGACGGAGATGACCACGACGGCGACCACCGCGTCTGCGACGACCACTGATGCTGACGGCACCGGTGACCGCGGCGACGCCAGCCCACAACGACAGCGCCCGATCTCCTGGCGCCGGCGGCAGCAGGCGGGCCGCCCCCGGGCCCGCGCCGCGCGCAAAAAGGGTCCTCGCATATCAGCAGCGGCTCGAGGGCGGGGGTGCCAACCTGGCTCGCTGGCGCGGGGGGGTCCTATTGTGTCTCTATGGGCCCTGCATCTTGCGTATGAAAAGGAGGAAAGGATGGAGGGAGGAGAGAGGGAGGTGGATGACGGGGTCAAGGATGGAGAGTCGCGAAACCTTCTCGCAAGCGCTGCCGCGATCGCTCATGGAGAACAACGTTTAGCTGATTGGGCTCTCGAGCTCGCTGTGAGCACCTGTGGGCGGAAGGTGTGCAACGAGAGGCGGATCTGCAGACATCGGCTGAAGGAGGTGGAGTACAAGAAACATGATCGACCCACGAACCCGGAAAGGAATATAGAAATGTAAGGCATGGCAACGTTTTCAAAGACACCTGATTGGGTGACGGGCAAGTGCAATGCTGATTGTATCGATCTTGACGTACCGTGCCGAGGGCTGTGCTGTGCTGCACCGTGCTGAATTGCGATGTGCCATGCCGCGGTTGTGCTCTATAGCGTCGTGGATCGAGTCTTCCTTTGCATCCGAGTCCTGACCGAACTGATCTGGATCTGAAGCTCGAGCTGCCTGAACACATAGTAGCTGCCCCAGAGCTAATTGACAGGGGGACATGCCAGGAGGACGCGCCGCGAAACGTCCCAAGGGACGCGCCAGGCGACGTGCCAAGGGACGTGCCATGGGGTCGCACCGTAGGACGTGCCAAGGGGACGCGCTACGGGACATCCTCAAAATTCCTGCGCGCGGGACGTGGCACGCGCGAGACATCCCCGGAATTCCTGCGAGCGGGACGTGAAAACAAACATTTCGCCTGAGACATCCTCTGAATTCTGGCCCCCCACGAGGCCCCCGCTCGAGACATCCCCCAAGTTTGCAAAACCAGCGTTTCGCTCGAGACATCCTCAACAAATTATGAAAAACAAGCGTTTCGCTCGAGAAGGACATCCTGGCAAAACAAACGAATTAGTCGAGACATCCTCAAAATTCCTGCGCGCGGGACGCGGCACGCGCGAGACATCCTTGGAATTCCTGCGAGAGGGACACGAAAACAAGCATTTCGCCTGAGACATCCTCTGAATTCTGCCCCCCCACGAAGCCCCCGCTCGAGACACCCCCAAATTTTGCAAAACCAGCGTTTCCCTCGAGACATCCTCAACAAACTATGTACAAAAAGCGTTTCGCTCGAGACATCCAAATAAGCGAATTAGTCGAGACATCCTCGAAATTCCTGCGCGCGGGACGCGGCACGCGCGAGACATCCTCGGAATTCCTGCGCTCGGGGCGCTTTTCCGCGTCGCGGTCGGGGCTCCAGACCCCGTTATTAGTCGAGGATTCTGCGAACAACGCTCCGCACCCTCTTTTTCACAAGGGAAAACGGGGTTCTGCGGACCCCGTTTTTTATCGAGGATCCAAGATGGGGGGCGCACTTTCCTCGAGCGGGCGCGCACGAAACGCCGGCCCCCTTCAAGTCGAAACCGGGGGGGAAACCTACTAAAAGAGAACCCTGGGCCCACGCCCTTTCCGGGAAAAGATGCAATCGGAAGAAAGAGGAGGAGGAGGGAACATATGCAGAAAAGCTCGCAATCACGCAATCGAACTCAAAGGGGCCTCGGATCCCTACAGCCTCTGTTGCCAAGCGCGCTGCTGGCAGCAATGAGCATCTGAAGGGCAGCGGTCCCACAGCCTCTGCCGCTGGGCCAAATGCCCGTAGGGGACATTGGCCTGGCTGACGGTGCGCTCGGAATCCTGGCAGTCCGCTCGACCTTCTGTGAGATCATGAGCACCAAGGCAGTCAGGACAAGGCGCGGCGAACCAGCACTCACACTGCGGCCAGGCAGCGCCTTGGCAGAGCCACCTGCGCCCAGCAGGCGCCTCGGGCGCCAGGCACAGGGGGCCGCCGCCTCCCTGCGGCAACCCACGCCATCGCCTCCGAGACGAGCATCGCCACCGGGTCGGGGCCAGAAGCGTTGAGAGCGTCCACGCTGGCATGGAACGCCGTGGGGGCTCCCGTTTCCACACGTTGACTTCCAGCAGTACCTGTGACTGCACTGCCACGTCGCGAATTAACTTCGGCAGCCATCGGTCCCAGCCAGGCGCCGACCCAGCCGTCGCAAGGCGAAGAACGAATCCACTCAACAGCCTTGTTGATGCGATCCTCGGTCTTGGAGAGGGATGTCGCCCTGGTCCCATGGCCCGTTGTTTTTGAGAAAACGGTCTGTGTGAGTCCAAACTGCGGCCCGTGTTCGCAAAACATGCGAATGCGGAGCGCGGCCTTGACGTCGTCGACGACAGCCTGGGCCACGATGCCGAAGGAGAAGCCCAGCGAACCCTCTACCAGGTTCACGACGGCACGGTGCACGGGGGTGGCACCAGCGGGGGAGGGAAAAGGGGGAGCGAGAGGTTGTGGGAGTGTGGCGGAGAACGCAGGACACAGCACGCAACGTTCGACGAACAACTGTCAGTCCAGATATCCAACGACTCATATGGATCAGGAATGGGGAAGCGGGTCGGAGGTGTCGCCAACCCTTCGGATAGCGGGGAGCACTGAACTCGCAATTCACCCCCGCCCCACATGAAGAACTCGACCCAGCGGCGCGCGAGCACATCCGCCGCCGCGAACATGGCGGCAAGTCCGCTGTCGAGGGCGACACCAAGCCTGCGGCACATCTCAGCGTTAGCTGCCGCCTCTAGCTGTAGGTGTTAGTCTTGATATTGCTGCGGCCCCATTCCCTTTCCTCCTATTTCACCCCCTCCTCCACCATTCCCGCGGCTGCCACCGCTTGTTGGATGGTTTTCCACATCGGCCTTCCCAAGCGAGGACGCACGCGTGCAGCTTTGTTGCAGTAACTAGAGGTACGTGGTACCTTTTCCCGCTGCCTTAGCGACGTGACGGCATACAATTGTGAACGCCAGGTTTAATCCAAAGAACAAAAAGCCTCCCCCTCTTCCCCCCATTCTCCTCCTCCCGCTCCCCACTCCCCTCCTCCCCTTTCGAAGGCCGCGGAACCCCGAGGACTTTCCCAAGGCACTGGTCTATGAACATGTCCTCCCCGTACTCCCCAAACTGGAGCCTGCGGGGGCGAGCGACCGGGCGACCAGGCGAGGGAGCGGCGCGTCGCTCGGGGGGCGGGGGGGGGAGGGAGGACGAGGAGGGGAAGGTGGCGGCGAAGGGGAGGACGAAGATGGGGGAGGGCGGGGGGTGCAATGACGGAGGGGGGCGAGGGAAAGGGCGGGAGGAGGGAAGGAGGAGGGGTAGAAGGGGGGGGGGAGGACGAGGCGGCGGAGCACGTCACGCTGGCGTCGGCGCGCCAGCCAGGCGAGGCCGCTTGCAGGGGTTAGCGCCAGAAACACGCCAGGTACCCAAGGGATCGCCTGACACCGTCCGTGGTGGAGACCCTTGGCCGCCTCGGTTGGGAAACCATACAGTGGCTCCTCCGGCAAAAGCGGACCCTGACACGCGACCGGTAGCTCGACGAGCTCACGAGGGCCTACAGGGTCGTGAGCTGTGCGGTCCGGACCCAGCTTGCCCTGCAGCGCCGCCGGGCTGCCCGGCTGGCCCGACTGCGCTGGCCCCGCGCCCGCGCCCTCCAGCATCCTTGGCTTTTCCCTTCCTCCTCATCTTCTGCCGCCGCCGATTCGTCTTGCCTGCTTTTCCCTCTCTCCCTCCCCTCTCCTTCCCCGCTCGTTGCCTCCAGCAGGCGCACGCGAGCCGAACGTGGGGTGCCGGTGCCGGTGCCGCAGGAGGGGGAGGCTGATCAGAGGTGGAGGAACAACAGATGGAGGGCGATGGGGAGGGAGAGGGAGGAGGGGCGCGCGCGCACCACTGGACGGGTAGCCCCTCTACTGCTGGACGTTGCTCTGCGCTGCTCCCCATGCCCTGTTGGACCATCCTCGATTTGAGAGTCCTATGCCAACTTACTGATGATGTTGCGATTGCTCGTCTCGGCTGCTGTATGTTGCTCTGTGTTGTTTGTGCTGCTCCCTGCCACCACTATCCCAGATCGCTGCTACTCTCTGCAAATACCTGCTCCTCCTGTATGCTGCATGTTGCTCGCTACCGCTTGCGTTACTCCCCGATGCCCACTGCTACCAGCTAGCCCAATGCTACATCCATGCTGCCATCTGCTGTTCTCTGCTGGACTCTGCAACTCTCTGCTGCTCTCTGTTGCTCTCTGCTGGTCTGGTTCTGACTCCGTCCAGCCACGGATCTCGAATTCAAGTCTAGCTCCGTCCAAAGCATCTGCGGCGTCCTACTCCAATTCTGTCTCAAGATCCGAGGCTGGCTTCAGTTCGAGTCAGGGCCAGCCGCAGATTCCGAACCACTTCAGGCCAGTCGCGATTTCCTGACGAATTCAGACGGCCGCACTTTCCGAACCAGTCCATTCCGAAGCAATTCAGGCTGGCCACCGTTCCCGAACCAGATCAAGTCGGGCGCTGTTTCCGAAGTCCGTTCCAACCCCGCTTCAAGTTCGGCCAGCCGCCGTTTCCGATATCGCTTCCGACCTGGTTCCAGTGCAGGCTGGCCGCCGTCTCCAAACCCTGCAAAATCATGGCTGAACTGGCGGGTTACGAAACGAGGTACCCGAGTGGTAGCAGCGACCATGCAGTGACTTGACTCTCTGGGGCAACAATCGTCAGGACAGTACGACTACTCGAGTGGAAATCGACTACAGAATTGATGTACCCTCCAATCGTTGTTTTCCTCAATCTACAAAATAATCCGCAGTGTTCGCACATCTACAAACATTATACGTGATTATCGTAGATTCGGCTGGCATTTCCATGTTGGGGCAAATCAATTATGTAGTCGATCTCCTACACGAGCTAAAGCATTTCTAAATGACTCGCCTCGCAAGTTCAGTCCGACGGACGCGCTGGTTCTGGTCATTCTCGCGGGCGGGTCCTTGTGGCCGCCTTTCGACCCTCGTCCCTCATGCCTTCTTCCCCCTGCTTCGTCCTCCTTCTCCTCAGGCGGCGCGGCCTGGTGGTCAGGGAGAATCGGGGAGGTGGGAGTGGAGGATGGAAGCAGGGAGGCAGGGGAAGGGGGAAGGGATAGAGCAAGGGAGGAAAGGAAGAAGAGGCAGGGGGTGGATGGTGGGAACGAGGATGAGGAGAAAAGGACACGAGGGAGTGCGGGAATAGGAGAGAGGGGGGAGGGAGGGAGGCTGATAAGAAAGATGAGGTATGAGAGGTGATGAGAGGGTGAGGACTTCGATGGATGCCCACGCCAGGAAGAGTCAGAGGAGAAAGAGGAAGGAGGAAGGGAATGGCCAACCGCCCTGCGTCGCCGCGGACCCGCACTCAAACGCCTGGGTCGGCATCTGATCTAGAACGGGTGAAAGTGCCGGGGCTGTGGATGCAGGATCAAGGATGGCGGGGGAAGAGGAAAAGCGAAGGAGGACGAGGGAGGAGGAGGCCGAGGAGGAGAAGAGGACAGGGATGTGCTGGTGGGAAGAGGGAGGGGAAACCCGTCGGTCCCACCGCCAGCGAGGGCCGGGGCGGCGGCCCGTTGACGCAGGTGGCGGGCGACTTCTTGTCCCACGCCCTGCGGGGAGGGAGGGGCCAAAAGGCAGAGGTGGAGGCGCCCGGAGGCTGCAAAGGAAGGATGTTTGTTGTTGCGCTCGACAACGCCAACACACACACACACACACTCACGCCGGGACCGTCGTCAGCTGCTGCACGCGGAGGCAAGCGAAAACAAGACACACGCACAGACTGGGAGCCCGTGGTGCTATGTTGCTGGCACACCGCACGGAGCAGCAGCTCGACTTCGCGGTGCAGGGCAGAGCACAGTGGCGAGGCAGCGGGAAAGGCAGCGACCGCCTGAACGTAAAAAGAGTACCAACCAGCACAAGTTGGACGCAAGGCCCGACAAGTGCGATCACGAGGGCACGAGCTGCCAATCTCTGAGGGCAGTCTGGCAGCGAACCCAGCCAACCGCGTAACAGAGAATCTGCAGGCCAGACCGCAACGGGACTGGCGCTGCGTCGGCCGCCGAAGACAACCTGAAAGGGTGGTCCCGTGACGCTGCAGGCGACACGGGCACAAGGATCAACAACAAAACAATATAGATGCCAGAAGCATGCATCACATTCGAGACGGCCCTCCGCGACGAAGGACCCACCAAATGCCAGAAACGAACGGAGCCAGAAACCCGACCAAGCGTGAGCAGCTTGCGGAGGGCGCCAGGGCCGACACGCACTGGACACAACAAGCGGGAAGGAAGAGTCGCAACCTGTTTCGTGCTTCCCTCGCCACAAGCTAGACCTCACGGGCCTGCGCGGCCAATCCAACTGTCAGCAAGAGTTGCTGCACTACGCGTGGATGAAACACCGCGAGCAGCACCCCCAAGTCAAGAGGGACACGGAGGAGAACTGAAAGCGAGCATGGTAAGGCCTCAGGAGAAACTCCAGGCGTGCCGAAACGGGCCGCTGCTTCGAATCCCAGGTTACATACGGATCATTGCGTGCAGGGAAAACCGATTCATACTTAGTCAGATCCCGACTCGTCCTCAACCCCCCCCCAACCAGATACGTGGTGGTAACGATGCCCCCCCTCCCCCCCTGCGCGGAGTGCGACAGCTACCTGGTAGAGCCGAGCAGCACTGGCCAGGCACCTCCTGTCTCTGCCACGCGACGATCCTCAGTGGGCGGCGGGTGAGTTCGCGGCACAAGCACTGGGATCTAGCCAAGATCCCGAGATGAGCTCGACTTCTGAATTTGGGTGCTTCCGTGACGCAATCTGGAACCAGGCATGGCGGCAGCTGTGGTCCCGCCTTTCGTTGGTGGGGGGGCCCACACAACGCTTGGCAAATACCTACATGTCGAACAAAGCAGGAGGAGTCGCTCCCCGTCGTAGTAGCGCAGAACGATGGGCTTATGCTGCCTGGCCTTCAAGGTGTCCCCAGTGAGGTCCTTGATGGATCGCTCTCCTCTGCACGCAGCCCTGGCGGGCCTCGCCGCAAACCTATACGTCTGCCAACAAGACGTGCAAGACCCAAACCTCCGTTCCCAGTGCCAGCCGTGTTCGGGCCCAGGGGGTGGTTGGGGGGCAGGCGGAGGCTTATGCTTGTGGATATCTCTTCAATCAACCCGTGGATACGACACCATCACATTAGAAGATAACGGCAAAACGAATCTAGATATGAACTCCGAGCGGGTCCGCCTTGTTTCTCTCGGCAACAGATGGCTGAGGGTGTCGAGCTGCTGCTCGGCGGGCGGCGGAGTCAGCCATGCCATGGCCATTAGTAAAGAAAAGCCTTCTCTTCAGCGAGGTCCGGTGTATCTTGTTGGTGCCCTTCGAATTTCCTAGTATGCCCAGGGGCCTGATCCAGCGCATGGAACAAACATCCAGCGCACGGCCGACGATGGGAGATCCTGGGAAACATGGTTCCAAAGCTTGGCGAACCACGTTCAAGCAATCTGGAAAATCTGGGAACCTGGCGCACGACACTGGGCAACGATGGTGTAGACCGTGAATTCATCAGCCTGCGGTGGCTGCGGAAAGAAGCCCATGATGGGTTCTGATACGGTGTCTAGATGTGCGCCTTTAGAATCTACAAGGATGACCGCACACCCAGCCTTGGAGAGCTGTGGGATAACCACGCGGGAACACACTCGATCCACAAAAATGTGACCTGCCAAGACCGTGGGCTGAGAGCTGGGGTCCTGATGCCAAGTGATTTCCATCCCACTGGGTGATCCATCCACAACAGCTGCAGGCCTAAAATAGGAATCGGATGGGGGCTCGTGCAGACCTCGAGTGTACAACAACTACTCGGCTGGATGAGACTTAACACGGAAGTCAGCTGGCGGAGTTCGAGTGTTTTCCAAGAGCTTCGTGACGCGTTCCCTCAACTGCAAAGCAATCCCACAGTCGGTGCAACACCGTGTCGTCAGTTGCTTGGCATAAACGGGGGCATAGCATATCAGACATGCCGTACTCAGCTTCGCGCGCACGCGTCCGTGCCCATTATGCATTGCAACACACCGGCCGCATGCACCCTTTCATGTATGGTGTGAGCCTGTTCTTTTGCAACATAGCTCCCACCTGATCATGACAAGCCCGATATGGTTGCGGTAGGTGAGGCAAAAGTTTGGCCGCTGATGGGCACTCGTGAACATGCTGAACAGTTGTTCGAAGGTGTGACTTCAGCAGCGCAGGCGAAACCAAGGTGAGCGGCACATCGTTCCAATGCTGGTCCACGACCAGGGTGTGCGAGGGCAACTTCTAATCGATCCTTTGCAAACTCAAGTTCGTAGCGGGGATGGGCCCTGTGACTTTCTCACGAGAGTTGGGCCCAGGAAGCCTAAAACACGTTTCCCCAAACTCACGGATCTCTTGCCCGGACATCGTGAAAGGGGAACTCCTAAGATGCAGGGCCCGAATCTCCTCGGCATGCACAAGCGTAGGGGGCCACTGGCCCATAAAACATCGGGTCCCGTCTCTGCCAAAAGCCCGTCGCGCTAGCCCCCATTCGTAATCTGATATCCCGTGGACTTCGGCTCCATAGTAACATCCTGACCGAGGACCTGAGACGAATAACTTCCTGCTGTGCTTGCCTAAGACAGATCGCAATGCGTGCAACCGTCTGGTCGTCGTTTTCAGGTGAAGGACCCGAAGCTGGAGCAGGAGGAGGGGGGATGCACGCGGCGCGGGGATGCGGTGGAGGAGGGGGTGATGAGGACGCGGGGGAGCCTGGAGCGGCGAGGAGGACATAGTTGAGGGCAGAGAAGGGGGCGCACGGAGGCCAGTCCGAGGCAGCTGCCGTGGAAAGAGGGGGCGGGGGGGGGGACGGCAAAAGGTGGAAGAGAAGGGCGAATCGCAGGAAGAGGGACATGGCGAAGCACTTGTACCGAAGCAGCCGTACAGTGGCGGAGGTGGAGGAAAAAAATGGAAAGAACCACTACGAAGTAACTGCGCCATGGACATGACATTCCGACGCGAACCCCGCTCTGAAGGAGGAGCTGGTCTAGCCCTTGATATGTAAGGAATGCGACGACATGGGATCCGAAATACCAAGGACCTGTCCAACGACAACCCCGCTTGGAAAAAAAACGCCTTTCATCCGTGTCCCTGTTCCATCTATTACGCCCCTGGTCGCAGGTCATTTAGGAGGTCTCCAACGAGAGCCCCACGTTGAAGAGAAACCGCGCTCAACCCGTGCAACTGTTCCACCAATTGAGTCTTGTGGTAATCTGCCGATCCCCGCTTGCCAGGGGTGCAAAGGCGTGTGCGATAATTGGCTGTCCCCCTCCCCTTTTCCTCCTCCCCTGCACGGGGTCCGAAATCCGACTCGGGGGGGGGGGGGGCTCACCGCGCTCCCCAACGCTCCCCCGGGGCCTCTGGAGCCTCCATTTCTACACTCCGTGGCCTCCAAGATGCCCGCGATTCAATCTGAGCTTGCTCAAGCTGGGCTCCAGCACGCCAATGAGGCGTCAAGAACAACCAAGTTAGTCAAGACGGCCCAATACTTCCACAGGAAGCTCCAAGAGGACCCCCAAGAAGGCCCCAAGAAGCATCAATTGATTTAATTCCAAAAGGAAAACGCGTATGTGTGCATATTCGCCTTTTGCTTTCAACAGCATCCAAAGCGGCCCAAGACGCCTCGAATATCGCACCATGACGGCCCAAGAGGTCCCCTAAGCGGGGCCAAATATGGCCCAAGAGAGCCCCAGAACAACCAAAGAGGCGGCCAAGACGGCCCAAGATGGCCCCCCAAGACAGCCCCAAGAGGGCCCCAAGATGATGAACTCGAACTGACATTTCGAGCCCTCCGCCCCAAGAGGACCCGCCAGCAAGCGCTCAACACACCCCCAAGACGCTCCAAGAGGCCCCCAAGAGACAAACAAAAATGCCCCAATCTGCTCTTCAACAGGTTCCCAGAGAAAGAAGGCCTCGCCCGTGGATGTTGCTTCTCCCTCAGGGGTCGGCAAAATGGCGTTTGCCACTTGAAAATAAGTGTCGAGAAAGTCTCAAGCAAAAGCCCGGCTTGAGAAGGTGGGGGAGAAGGAGTGCCAGAGGCGGAGTGAGTGCTGGCAAGCAAAGGGGGAAGAAGAGAAATGCCGGTAGAAGGTCTTGAACCAAAATGGCTTCGAATGCCAGTAGAAAGATGAGGAGGAGGAGGAGGAGGAGGAGTAGGAGGAGGAGAAGGAGGAGGAGGAGGAGGAGAGGATGACGAGGAGGAACAGACGGCGGCGGCGCGCTGCGCAGGGAGTCGAAGGAGTCTCGGCTCCGGCGGGAAAAGCGAGCACTTGCTCGCCAGTCTAGTGCGGCCTTGGCCCCAGGCCAAGGGAAGCGGACCTGACTGGGCGCGCCCGGCAGAGCGCGCCAAAGGGAGGCGGCAAGCCCAGCCGAAATTCTGGGCGCTCCTCGCGCCGAGTCCTCGTGCCCTGAGTCGATGTCCGGGTCCTTGAGCAGGTCTTGGGCCCTCCGCTCTAGGGCTCCGCGGTGGCTGTGGCCGAAGTACTGCTTGAACTCCTTGCCACAGCGGTGCCTGATAAACGAGTTCCCTGACTCAAAGCGCGCGCCAAATGGACTATTTCATTTGGTTGCACCAGTTCGTTGGCGGCGTCGCCCTTTGGATCAGATGGCGGCGGGTGGGCAGCAAAGAAATGTGCATGTTCTCGAGATCGGCCTGATCAACATGCTCTGCCGTGCTTGCCTCGACCAGTGAATAATAGTTTATTCTTATAGCACCCCGCAATTGCGGATAAGAGTGAGGGGGCGGGCGCGGGCGACGCGGGCGTCGTCAAGCCGGCGGACCTCGTGGCCCCCACCTTCCCTGTCGATGGCGCTCTCCTTCTCCCCCTCCTCCTCCTCCTCCTCCTCCTCCTCCTCCTCCGCCTCCTCCTCCTCCTCCTCCTCTTCCTCGTCCTCGTCCTCGTCCTCATCGTCATCGTCGTCCTCCTCCTCCACCTCGTCCTCCTCCTCCTCCTCTTCTTCCTCGTCCTCCCTCTCCCCCCCTCGTCCTTCCATCATCGTCCTCCCATTGTCGTCATGATCCTCCTCGTCGTCCTCCTCCTCTTCCCCCCCTCCCGATCCTCCCCCCTCCTCCTTTTTGTCGTCGTCGTCGACGTCGTCGTCGTCGTCGTCGTCGTCCCCTTCCTCCCCTCCTCCTCCTCCTCCTCCTCCTCCTCCTCCTCCTCCTCTTCCTCCTCCTCCTCCTCGTCCTCCTGCAAAAGCAGCCCGCCGCAGGCGCCGAAAAATTTTGTTTGTACACTGAACGTGGTTTGGGTCGCTGGTGGGCCGCGGGTTCTCCACCAGGAACGAATGCACAAGATGCCCGCCGCAGGCGCCGAAAAATTTGGTTTGTACCCTGAACGTGGTCGCGGGTGGGCTGCGGTCTCTCCACCTAGAACGAATGCAAAAGATGCCCGCCGCAGGCGCCGAAAAATGTGGTTTGTACCCTGAACGTGGTTTGGGTCGCGGGTTGGTCGCGTTGGTCGCGGGGTGGGTCGCGGGCTCTCCACCTGGAAGGAATGCAAAAAAAGCCCGCCGCAGGCGCCGAAAATGTTGGTTTGTACCTTGAACGTGGTTTGGGTCGCGGGTGGGTCGCGGGTGGGTCGCGGGGTGGGTCGCGGGTGGGTCGCGGGTGGGTCGCGGGTGGGTCGCGGGTGGGTCGCGGGTGGGTCGCGGGGTGGGTCGCGGGTGGGTCGCGGGGTGGGTCGCGGGTGGGTCGCGGGGTCGCGGGGTGGGTCGCGGGGTGGGTCGCGGGGTGGGTCGCGGGTGGGTCGCGGGTGGGTCGCGGGTGGGTCGCGGGTGGGTCGCGGGGTGGGTCGCGGTGGGTCGCGGGGCGGGTGGCGGGTGGGACGACGACAACAAACAACAACAACAACAAACAACAACAACACGAATCCGCACCGCGGAATCCCACTTCAGCCACGCACCCAGGGACAGTGAATGACCGTTCGGCCCCCTCACTCTGACGATGGGTCTGGGCAACCCTCGTCGTGGACGCTCTTGCCGTTCGTCGTGCGTTCCGCGTGGATTTGACTACGCTTCTGTATGCTCTGCGTCGCCGCGCTGTCAGACGCCACCCTGAAGAAAATTAGCTCAACAATCACGAACATACGCACTTCCTGTTTTGCTGACGGCACTTAACCACGAAGATGGACAACAACTCACGGATCTTGTCCGCATCACCGGCGCAACTGGCGCAACGCCTACCCCTCGAAGGGTCATCTGCACCTCGACTCAAAAAGGATGCCCATGCTGAGGCAAGTCACACTTAAGCTCAGATGTATCCTCCCCATCCTCTCCAGGAGGAGGGAAAGGGTGGGGGGAAGGCGCAGGAGAGGGGCAAGAGATAGGCAGGAGCTGGAAAAGTGGGGGTTGATTGCGCCGGCCTTTCGCGCAAACGGCTGGACCTCAAAGGGCTAAAGTGCCGCGTTGAAAAGCTCCTCGGGGGCCTCCAGCGAGGGAATGGAAGACGAGAGAGCAGTTAGGGACTGTGCACACATGTGTATATACGTACACATGTATATGCATACACACGTGTATATATATATATATATATATATATATATATGTATACATGTGTACATATATACACATATATATACACATGTCTACACACATATATATATATATATGTACAGATGTATATGTAATAGATGGGACAAAGGAAGGGAGGAAGGGAGGGGGAGGTTGGAGAGGACGGAGGAGGAACAGAAAAAGGGCAAGTGGAAGTAGGTGGAGGAGCACCCAGACCATCGACGCCGCGTTTTTTCGCAAATCCGTCGGCCCAACGGCCCTCGACTCTCGACCGCTTCCTCAGGGGCGGTTCTTGATCGCGGGTCGCTGTCTGATGGCCCCTGGGCCCGAGAAAACACCCCGAAACGACCTCGTACTTGTCCTCGTCCGGCGACGACGAGGACGGAAATGACGACGAGGACGACAAGGAGGAAGACGACGACGGCCACGACTGGTGCGCGCGCGACGCTGGCCAAGCCGCCAAGGGCCGCCAGAGGCCGCAGAGGACCTCCTCCTCCTCCTCCTCCTCCTCCTTTTCAACTTCCTCCCTTCTCATACTCCTCGTCCCCTCGATGGCGGCAACGACTTCCGAAATCATCTGGTGACCTAGACTTCCGAAGGCTTTCACAAAAACCGACGACGACGACGACGACGACGACGACGACGACGGCTGCCGAGAACCACCGAACTTTTGGAAAAAACGGGTTCTGGACCAAGGGGCTTTCCCTGGCAACGCATTTTCACTGGATGGGCCAGGGGGCTTGTCCCGGAATGAGATTCACTCATCCGGAACAAATTCCGGCGGCCCCGGTGCCTGGGGAAGTATATATAGCCCGAGCGCGGTAAACGACTTCTGAAACCGTTTCCCCCAGTACCCTTTTTCACAGCGAGGCCTCCGAATGCCGCTGGCTGGCCGCCATGTGGCCGCCAAGGCCGCCGCGCGGGCCGGAGGGGCCGCCAGAGGGGCCGCTGGGATCCTCTGGTAGTCGGCCGCCAGGGCGTCCAGGGCGGCCTTTGAAAACACCTGGGCGGGCACCCCAGAAATCAGGCGTCTCGAAGTGATCGAAGCGGCCATTGCAAACACATTGGCCCTCTGGGAACAAATTTCGGGCCCCAGGACCGAGACAAAGCGAAACAGGATGAAAAGCAGGCCCCTGGGGAAAGGGTCGAGAAGCCCGTTGGCCCACGTTTCGAAAAAATAGCGCCGCAATTTGTTTGGGAAGAACGGGTGCGCGGGCGCCCGTCCATTCTCATGCAACCCGCGGGCGCTCCAATCGCGAGACGTCACCGGGCACCAGCGATACCGATGATGCCATTTTCAGGTGCAACGCTTGCTACCAGCAAAAACCGAGATGCCTAGCACAGAAACAATTGGCAACGGATGCCGCGGAATTGATGAGGCAAACAGAAGTGCAAGCAATCACGGTGTCCATACTCCTCCTGCAAATTCCCCAAACGCCCCTTGACGATAAGGAGAACGATGGCTAAACCAAAACACAAATTCTACTCGACAACCTGCACCTTTGTCAAAAACACACAGGCCAAACTGACTTGCATTCCTCCTGGTGGCACTGCTCACCCTGTCGCCAGGCTGCACTCTGACACCCCCTGTCGGCTGATAAACCGAAATGACGGCGGGGAAATGACGTCCACGAGCCGAGGAAAATGTATGTAATCGTCGCCAACGGAAGCGACTTGAAGCGTATGCTAGAAAATGCGTGTGCGGATCTAGAGCGGTTTGGCAAGTGAACAGCGCGCAGGAGACAGGCCTTCAACCAAGCGAAACGAGAGTCTGCAAAACAAACGAATAAACCATAGCAGGGGATGACAAAAGCGACTCAGGATTGGACGTGAACGCGCGCGCTAAGCCATCACATATTCGCAAAGTGCCGAGTCATGCCACCTGTAGAACGGCTTCTGTAGAACAAACCAGAAATCTAACAAACGAGCTCAACTGATCCGGAGCGCGGCAATCCAGCAAATCGGCCCGCGATGATGACCCATATTTTGGCTGTTCTAACACTCGGTAGCTAGTGTTCGATCGTGCCTTCTGTTAGTGAGGTGTTGGTTAATACTTCGCATATGCACGAACATGTTGTCAGTGCTCACATTTCGTCAAAGAACAGGCAAGGCCCTCATCAGCCCATGATTTGATCACAATGATGTCCTCGTCCCACCATTTCTTGTGACCAGATCGGGCAGGCTGCGACGCGTGCGATCCCAACCCGCGTCTGCTCGCAGTGGCAACGTCTGCGCTTGCATCGCTCTTGAGCGAGATGCCACAATCAGTCTCGAAGTCCTCGGCAAGCGCTTGTAATCCTAGCGCTGATGGTTCGCCTTCACAGTACCGTAACACTCCGCTTACCCAGATGATAGTGCCACTATAATATGGGCCGAACTCCACAACTCTATCCCGTGGCCCCCGCAAAACTGCCCCCCCCCCCCCCCCCCCCCCCCCCCTGTCATTTACGCGCGAGGCTTTGCACCTTCTGCTTCGCCTGGCTGCTTCTTACCTGGCATCTAACATATCAGATCAGTCTGTACTGCTCCAGGTCTAACTCTTTCCCCAACTAACTCAACATGCGTCTGACCCGCCTCGTGCCCGAACGCATGCCCGTCTCATTCCACAATGAAGTTGGTTGTCCTGAGCGGCCGCAGATCGGTCGATCCTGGCCCGAGCCAGACCCGGACTTCAACTTCGAGATTGCGCGCGCAAAACAATCATCGAACCATTCAATATCGAAGCGGTTACGCGCGCGCCCGTCGCACAATCTTCTTCGGGCAACCCGATGACGACCATCTGTTTCGCCTCATCGCAAGACCACGCCCGCTTAACGCGCTCCAGTTCGAATCCTTTCTCGCCCCCCTCGGCCTGGACATATTCCCTCGGCAACTGCCCGAGAGAATACACGCGTTTGGGCCTCCAGTGAAGTGGCAGCTGCAAATTGGCTCTTTCCTTGGAGTGCCACTTGCCCTGCTGGGCCGCCAGCGGGGGTCGATGCTCGGAATTGGCCTCGTCGCCCTCGCTGATGTCGACCGACCACGCACCCGCGGGGGCTTTGCCAGTCACGGCGCAGCATTCCCCCAAGACATTCCCAGACCTCGCGCAACCTCACTTGCCCCACCTCCTCCTCTCGAGCCTGCAAAGTGAATTCTGGATCGAGCTCGCTTCCCGACGCATGGCCCAGAACCCGTGCTCGACCGTCGCCGCGATAAACCTAGCGCATCCCCTTCACTGGTGACAGGCCGCGCCGCAGTAACACTTCCACGCGCCTCGCATGCCCCTGGAGTTCTCAGCCAGCCCTGGCGTCGGCACGCTCCGCAAACCCACGTGCGCGCGGCAAGCCGGAACATCTGGTGGCGCTGGATATTGCGTGCACCTCCATGGAACTGCCCCCTCCGCTCTTCCCCCTGAATCGCAATGACCTCCCTGTCATCGATGGGCGGCGCCCCATGGCCCCAGCAACGCTGCAACGGCATGGGCGCCGCGCGCATCCTGGGGCATCAGTCGAGAAGCGCCATGATCTTGTCTGACCCCAAGTAACCAGAGCCCATCTGCGCTCTCAACCTGTTCGCGCCCGATCTCAATAATTATCATCCTCTCGCCCGGCCCGCTCAGATCAACCTCTGGCCCTGCGAACATAGCTCGACAGAGTCGGTCTGGATAGACCTCTGATCTCCTCGCTCCGCCTCCTCTGGGCAACTCAATGGACCGATGCTGACCTTTGGAGCCGGGGGCCCTTCCCGCGTAGGCGCTGCGAATCGCGGCGCTTCCCCCCCTCGCCGCCTGCCGCGGGCCACGGCGGCCCCGGTCGCCATCGCGCGCGCGCGCGCCATCTCGTTTAAACGTTGTTCACTGCGCGAGCGACGCGGTCCCGCCAGAGGACCCCGCATAATATCTCAAGAGAAATCGTTGACAACTTCTCCTCTGGGACACACATAATTTCAGGGCGCACTTGAAACGCGCGTGGCCCCGGCATCCCCATCATGCCTGCCGCCCCAAATCTCTCGCACGTGAAAGATTGCGCCCTGCTGACGGCTGCGCACATTTGACACGCGATCAGCAATGGGGCCGCTCCGCCCAGGATGTCTCCGCCGCTCTCGCCCGCGCCCCCGCGCAATTGAAACCCCGCGCCCCCCCCCCCCCCGCGCATTCATCGCGCGCAGTCGAGCCCATGGCTAGCCCCGGCGCGGGCCGCATGTTCTGCCGCGCCGGCGGCTCGGACTGGATAGTGAGCCTCAGAGACGCGCGACTGCAAATATCGACGGCCGTTGCCGCATTGCTCACTGCCCCCCTGCTCTCACTGATTCCTCAAGTGACGTGCAGAGCGGCGCTGAGTCACCACTCTGCTGCGTCGGTGCCAATGCTCACCACTTTCACGGCGGCGCGCACTTAATCGGCGTTCACATGATCATGTTCCTGGCTGCTTGGGCACATGTTCTTCCATATTATTGGCGTCCGGGCCCTCTTGTACCTCCGCGTCCAACTCTTTTTCTCCTCTAACTTCTGTGGTCCTCTTGCCGTCTGGGGTGGCCCTCCTCCTCGTAGCGGCCCGTAATATGAGATTGGCCTGGCGTTCGTCGCCGTCGCTGCCTGAGACTACGCGGAACTCGACCCGCCCCGGTCAAGGTCCTCGTAACATTTCCACCTTCGTTCTCCTAATCAGCAGTTGCTTCGCCCGTCTGGCCAGGCCCCCCGTCTCTGATCAACGGCGCGCGTTCGTCTCTCATTGCTGACTCGCTCGGGGGCCCCATCGCCCCCATGTCTTCTCGCGCGCGCATTTCTGTCATGGGTCGCGGCGTTGTCGAATGGCCAGCAAGTCCGCGCATGCCCAGTCCGGTCTCCTACCAACATACGCCCCCCCATTCCTGTCCAGCCGGGAACTTTCGGGCCCGGTCATCATCTGAGCTGACGCGAACCAACGATTGGATGATGAGGCCGTCTTGTCTTTCGAGCCGCTCGATGACGCGTTCGCGGCGCTCTGCGCCGCGTGGCGCGAGGGCCGCGCCCCCCCGCGGCCATCGCCCTGCGCCCGCGGCGCCCCGGCGAAGGCCCCGTGGCCGCGCGGCCGAGACGGGTCTCCAGAACACCCAACCGCGGACAAAACACATGTTTTCCGGCGACCGCGTCGAGAAACTGGGGCCCGCCAGGAGCGAAACAAAAATTGCTCGCCAGCGGCGCTTGCCGCGCAACAACAACGACGACGACGACGCCTCCGACTAGGCGCGCGACGAGGAAGTGCAGGAGGAAGAGGAGGATGCGCGGATTCTACTCCCCGCCGAGAAAAAAAAAAAAACGGTGGGCAACGCTACAGACCGACCACGGTCTCCCGACCTCTCCGCGGCAGTTCCCCGAGACACTAACGGCCTGGCGTCAGCCTCCGCGCCTGGATGGGGCGCCGCCGCCGGCGTCGCTCTGGTCAATTCCACGCGCATGGGAGTCAGGCTACCAGGGTAACCCTTTCCATGTCTAAATACAACGGTTCCCCGTCATCCGCGCTGCGCCTGAACTCTCGCAACTTAGTGGCGCCGACTGGAGGGCCGACGACTACTTCTCAACGTGCTCCGAGGTTGCCGCCATCTGTTTCAAGAGGAGTTGCCAGATTCATGATGCATTCTATGCCCGGGCAACGGTGCGTTGAATTCAGAATTGGGCGGCTTGCGTGGGTCTTCAACGCGTCGATGGGAGAAAGTGCGCGAGCCGCTGAAACCGGGCGCACCGCGTGTTTCGCGACGAAGTGAAATCAAAACTTGCCATCCAAATCGCTCTGCGACGTCCTACCGCGGCCCTCTGATAGCCTTGCCAACTTCGCGATTTCATTTGGGGCCCCTTGCCCGATAAACTTTTGCCCCCGCGAGGTCGCGCGAGGCGCCGGCCGCTTCCTCGAGCGCCGCTACGGATGACTCCCGATCGCCCTGGAGGAATAACGCTCTGTCGTGATCGGGGGAAGAAACATATTGCGAAACTCCTTGACTGCTTGCGCATCTACGCCCTCTCTGAAATCACAGTTGGCCCCCAAGTAA